GGCCAGTAAAGGTGAGTGTAGGTGGGGAGTTAGGGAGGGGATAGGTCTGTCCAGGGAGGATGGACAGGTCAAGGGGGCGGGATGAGGTTAGTCGGTAGGAAATGGAGGTGCGGCTTGAGGTGGGAGGAGGGGATAGGTGGGAGGAAGAACAGGTTAGGGAGGCAGGGACGAGCTGGACTGGTTTTGGGATGCGGTAGGGGGAGGGGAGATTTTGAAACTTGTGAAATCCACATTGATACCATTGGGCTGCAGGGTTCCCAAGCGGAATATGAGTTGCTGTTCCTGCAACCTTCGGGTGGCATCGTTGTGGCACTGCAGGAGGCCCAGGATGGACATGTCGTCTGAGGAATGGGAGGGGGAGCTGAAATGGTTCGCGACTGGGAGATGCAGTTGTTTATTGCGAACCGAGCGTAGGTGTTCTGCAAAGCGGTCCCCGAGCCTCCACTTGGTTTTCTGCAAAGCGGTCCCCGAGCCCAATCACCTTCCACTGATTAGAAATTCTTGTTTTTCGATCACACAGATAAGTGAGAATAATGCCATAACTTACTCAGCCATGATGTTATTCAAAGTCTCCAGACTTGAGTGCTGAATGGACAACTCATGTGCCTTTGTATTTTGGTCTTAGACAAAGTATATGGGATACAGGATATGAGTGTTGCTGGCTGGCCAGCATTTATTGCCTGTCCCTAGTTGCCCTTGAGAAGATGCTAGTGAATTGCATTCTTGAACCACTGCAGTTCATGTACTGCAGGTAAACTCACAATTCTCCAAGGTTTTGACCGACCAAAAGTGAAGAAATAGTGATATATTTCCAAGTCAAATGGTGTGTGGCTTGGTGGGGAAATTGCAGGTGCTGGCGTTCCTATGTATCTGTTGCCCTCATGGTTATGGATGTAAGTAGGTCTAACTTTTTTAGGTGCTGTCTAAGAATCTTGGACAAATTTCTGCTGTGCATCTTGTAGATAGTATACAGTACTGCTACCTAAACATTGGTGGCGGAGGGAGTGAATGCTTATAGATTTGGTGCCAAACATGGAGACTGCTTTGTCCTGGATAGTGTCAATCTTCTTGAGTGCTGTTGGAGCATAAAGACAAGTGGAGAGTATTCCATCACCCTCCTGAATTGTTTATTGCACATGGGAGCTGGCTTCGGAAGTCTGAGTGTGAGGTACTCACGGCAGAATTCCAAGCCTCTTATTTGCTCCTGTAGCTATTGTATTTATATGGTGAGGTCAGTTGAGTTTCTAGTCAACAGTAACTCCAAGAAGATTGATAATAGATAATTCAGTGATTGAATGTCAAGAGGCAGTGGTAAAATTGTCTCTAGTTAGAGATAGACATTGTGAGGTACAAAGATTAATTTTCACTTCTCAGTCTTGATATTGTCTTAGAAATAGTAGGAACTGCCGATGCTGGAGTCTGAGATAACAAGCTGTGGAGCTGGATGAACGCAGCAGGCCAGGCAACATCAGAGGAGCAGGAAAGCTGACGTTTCAGGTCTGGACCCTTCTTCAGAAATGGGGGAGGGGACTGGGGCTCTGAAGTAAATAGAGAGAAGGGGAGGCGATGATAGAAGGTGGATAGTGGAGCAGATAGGTGGAGAGAAGATGGACAGGTCAAGGAGGCAGGGATGAAGCCAGTAAAGATGATTGTAGGTAGGGAGTTGGGATGGGAGTTGGTTAGTGAGGAGGGAGGGGCGGATAGGTGGGAGGGAAGATGCACAGGTCAAGGAGGTGGGGATGAGGCTAGTAGAGGTTAGGTGAGTGAAGGAAGGATGTGGGGGTGGGGGTTGGTCATTGAGGTGGGAGGAGCGGATAGGTGGGAGAAAAGACGGACAGGTCAAGGAGGCGGGGACGAGAGGGGGGCTGGTCTTGAGATGAGGTCGGGGGTGGGGAGATTTTGAAGCTTGTGAAGTCCACATTGAGACCACTGGCTTGTAGGGTTCGCAGGAGGAATATGAGGTGTTGTTCCTCCAGTTTCCGTGTGGCATCGTAGTGGCACTGGAGGAGGCCCAGGATGGGCATGTCATCCAAGGAGTGGGAGGAGGAGTTGAAGTGGTTCACGACTGAGATATGTTGTCGTTTGTCATGAACCGAGCGTAGGTGCTCCACAAAGCGGTCTCCAAGCCTCCACTTGGTTTCCCCGATGTAGAGGAGGCCACATCGATAACAGCAGATACAATGTACCACATTAGCGGATGTGCAGGTGAACATCTATTTAATGTGGAAGTTTCTCTTGGGGCCTGGGATGGGGGTGAGGGGGAATGTGTAGGGGCAGGTGTAGCACCTCCTGCAGTTGCAGGGAAAGGCCCCGGGGGTGGTGGGGCTGGTGGGGAGTGTGGAGTGGACGAGGGAGTCACGGAGAGAGTGGTCCCTCCGGAAGGCAAATAAGGATGGGGAGGGAAATATATCCTTGGTAGTGGGGTCAGATTGCAGGTGACGGAAGCGGCGGAAAATGATGCATTGAATCCGGAGGTTGATGGGGTGATACGTAAGGACAAGGGGAATTCTGTCTTTGTTGTTATTGCGGGAAGGATACTGCTTTTGAATGTAAACCGCTTCAGTATCTGAGGAGTCATGAATGGTGATAAACATGATACAATCATCATTGTACAACCCCATTTTTGACCTTAAGATGGAGGGAAGGTCATTGATGAAGAAACTGAGCATGTGATGCTTGATAGCACTGTTGATGATAGCTTCTATCAGTCTACTGATGATCGAGAGTAGACTGCTGGGCCCATGACTGTCTGGGTTTGCTTTGTTCTGCTTTTTATGTACAGGACACACCTGGCCAGGTTTCCACATTGTCAGGTAGATGCCAGTGTTGTAAATGAACTAGAACAGCTTGGCTGCATTTTAGATCTGAAGCACAAATCTTTAGTACTACTGCTGGAATATTGTCAAGACCAATATCCTTTGCAGTATCAGTTGCCTCCAACTGTTTCTTGATATTATGTGGAGTGAATCAAATTGGCTGAAGACTGGCATCTGTGATGCTGGGAGCCATTGAAGCAGGCCAGGATGGATCATCCACTTGGAATATATGGGTAAGGAATGTTGTGAACGCTTCAGACTTTTCTTTTGCAATGATGAGCTGGGTTCTTCCAAAATTGAGGGTAGGGATATTTTTGTAGCCTCCAACTCATCCAGTCAGTTTTTTTTTTAATTGTCCATCACAATGCATTACTGAATATGGTAGATTTCAGCCGTTGACTGTGGGATCATTTAGCTCTTTTTATCACTTGCTGCTATCTTGTTTGGCATGCAATTAATCCTGCTTGGTAGCTTCGCCAGGTTGACAACTCATTTTTTAGGTGTGCCTTGTGCTGTTCCTGCCCTTTGCACTAGACTTGGGTTCAACCTCTAGCTTGATGGTAATGGTTGAAAGGGGGATTTTCTGGGCCCGAAGGTTGCAGATTTGTGATTGATTCTGATGCTGCTGATGGCCAAAAGCAGCTCACGGATGCCCAACTTGAGCTCTTGGATCTTTTTGAAGTCTGTCCCATTGAGCACAATGGAAGGTATTCTCAATGTCAAGGTGGGTCTTTGTTTCTACAACAACCATGCGGATGTCATTCTTACAGATATGGTCATAGACTGATGTACCTGAAGCCAACAGATTGGTAAGGATGAGGTCAAGTATATTTTTCACTCTTATTGGTTCCTTCACCACCCACCACAGACACAGTCTAGCAGCAGTAATCTTTAGGACGCGAACAGCTCGATCACAAGTGCTGAGCCACTCCTGGTGGTGAATATTTAACTTCCCAGCCAGAGGACAATTTGTGCACTTGCTACCCTCAGTGCTTTCTCTCAGTGTTATTCAACAGGAGGAATACTAATTCATCAGCAGAGTCAGAACAGTACATGTTAAATAGCAGGAGGTTTGCTTCAGAGATAGTAGGAACTGCAGATGCTGGAGAATCTGGGATAACAAGGTGTAGAGCTGGATGAACACAGCAGGCCCAGCAGCAGCAGAGGAGCAGGAAAGCTGACGTTTCAGGCCTAGACCTTTGCTTCTCTGTGTTTAATCTGATTCCATGAGACTTCATGAGGTCCAGAGTAAATGTTGAGTAATTCCAGGGAAACTCCCTCCTGCCTGTATACCGGTGTGTCACCACCCCTGGTGGTCTGTCCTGCATATCCAGGGACAGTGATAGTGGTGTCTGCAACATTCTCTGCAATGAAATATCTGGGGACTATTCATGCATGCTTTTAAAACTGATATTACTTCAATTTGTGGAAATTGGGTAAAAGAAAAGGTCTTTTCACAAAACATTTCCTGTGAAAAACATCTGTGAATCAGATGGAATTATCGAATTTCTGATGTAGCAAATTCAACAGAAGATCTGGTCAAACTTGTGTATTAAACCTATACACCTGGTTTTATTTATTTATTACAGTTAACGTGTTGGCGATTGTGATCCTTTCTCGGAGACAATGCGGCCTCACTAAGTGTATCACTCAGTACCTGATAGCAATGGCGACAGCAGATTTCCTCGTTGTTATCGCTGATGTGATGTTGAGGTGGCTTATTATGTATTTCCCAGTATCTTTCCTGGATATTACTCATGTCTGTAGTTTTGTTATGGTGCTCATTCCTGCAACCACAATACATTCCGTCTGGATGACTGTTGCTTTCACCATTGATCGATTTGTGGCTATTTGCTGTCCAAAGCTGAAAACCAAATACTGCACTGAAAAAACTGCATCTGTGATTATTGGAACAACGAGTGTGGTGAGTTATTTGGAATGCATTCCCTGGTTTTTCAAATTCAAATCCAAATACATCTTCAATAACCTGCAATGGTTTTGCATTACAAAACCAGAATATTACACTTCAATTTTCTGGGCAGTTTATGAAATACTCCATCGCCTTCTAGCCCCTTTACTGCCATTTTTTATTATTTTTCTTTTGAACACTCTCACCGTCAGACATATTTTAGTAGCAAGCAAAGCACGCACGAGATTCCAGAAGGGCAGTGACAGGGAGAGGTCCAGTGACCCAGAGATGGACAAACGCAGAAAATCCATCATTTTACTCTTTGCTATCTCGGGAAACTTCATTATTTTATGGATCCCTTATGTCGTGTGTTTCCTATATCGACGAATTTCATTAATGCATGATTATCCTCCACTTTCACCAACTGCAGGTACCATTGGATACATGCTCCAGCTCCTCAGTACGTGTACAAACACTTGTATATACACTGTGACCCAGAGCCAATTCCGAGAGCAGCTGAAAGCTGTTGTGAAACTCCCTTTCACTCTGATTCTCAAATCAATCAAACAGTTTGCATGCATTAGAGTTCAGTTCCCTCTCATAAATCATCTTATATCCGAGCTGAGCATTTCTGAGCCCACAACACAGTGGAGCACGGTTTTCCCTACAACACAGTGATCGGAGGAAATCTTTGTTCATTTTTATTTTCAATGACTTCTCCATTTCCTCTGTGGAAGTTACTCTAGTATCAGCCTCCTGCATCCTGATAGTCCATATTGTAACAGACTCAGTGAGTAAGGTTTGATTTCTAGTTTCCTTTTACTTCAATTCCTTTCCCCTGGTTTTTCTGGCTTCTACAATTATGTCAGTATGAACGTTTCCTTCTGATTGATTATACCATGGTCTTGACTACTTCTTTGGAATTGCTCTTGAATGACTCTGAGAAGAACAGGCCCTATTTCTGCAGTCTCACCACTGAACTGAAGTTCCTTATCCCTTGTATAAGCAGTAAATCCCCTCCACAACCTCAACATGTCTCTTAACTTATACCCAGAGTAAAAGTGAATACTGCATCCTGGGATATTAAGAGATGTAACTACAGTGGTAGCAGATGTATTCGTAGCACTCTTCCAAGAATCCTTAGATTCATGAAAATTCCTAGAGGATTGGAAAACTATTAAGGTGACTTCTTTACTTAGAAAGGGAAGGTGATTAAAAAGAAGATCTGTAACTATAGGCTAAGTGTGCTTTGATTTATACATTTACAGTTCTTGAATATTTTTCATACCAATTTGCTTCTTATTTCCTCTACCTGCAAAGCATCTTGCAAGTGAATAACCAGGTGTCTTACCTATTTCTCTTGCCTCTGTAGTCTGCATGCCTTTAAAAGTAGTACTATTTTACTTATATGTTGTTATTCTCCTCAGGACAGCAAGGGATATGAGGACAGAACAGGTTTTGGACAATAATGTACACTGTGTAAGGAAAGCTGGTTTTCATGATAGACTGGGCTGGATTTGCAACATTCTGTGGTTTTTGTGGTCTTGGGCATTGCAGTTTCCATACACAGTTGCATGTGATGCATCCGGACAGTATGCTTTCTAATCAAATGATGGGAAATACTCAATGGGGGAAAGAGCTTCCTCCCATTCTGACCTTCTGATTTCTTTCCACTGAGACAGGCCATCCCGTTTTTTAGACCATTAATTAGCAACCATGTACCTGAGACAATCTCACTGTTTACAAGATGATAGTGTTACAAATGTCTCACCACTTATTGATCCAATAGTGTTACATGGTAACAAGGTGTAGAGCTGGATGAACAGCTGTACATCTTGTTATCTCAGATGTGTTCATCCAGCTCTACACCTTGTTATCTCAGACTCCAGCATCGGCAGTTCCTACTATCTCTGAATGTTACATGGTTACAGTCTATTGAAATGTTTACAGGTAGTTCTGCTATATTGCGTGTTTCTTTGACAGAAATTGGCTGTAACGCGATTGATGAATAGTGGATACTGTTTGGGTAACGCAAACATTCTGCTGTACAGGTATAGCAATTTTCGATAGGGATTTCCCTATAGTGCAATTTTCTATCGCGATTTTCTATTGCGCGAGGTCACACAAAAACGCAACTATCATGTTATAGGAGAACTACATCTACACTACATTCAGATTATGTTGCAACGTCACAGAGTGCAACCTTGTTTCTATTATTGCTCCAAATGTGAGACAGTCTACCTAACTCTTTAAATTACAATCCTCACTGCTGTTACTCTGAGACAGATTAGCCACTAATTGAAACACCACTGTTACACTGAGAATAACTCCCTAACCTGTTTGCACAACACAGATGGAGTCCACTGCAAGAGTCTACCCACTGATAAGGTCATTCATTTTTTGGTGATACATAAACTTTACTTAGCCTGCTGTGTGTAGCACACAAACACATAAGACTGGATATTATCCAGATTTCACCTGAAAAGTGACAAGTAACATTTGTGAAGCAATGACCATCTTCAACAAGAGAAAATCTAATCACTGGCATTTGACAATCAATTGCATTACCATCACTAAATCCTCAATTTTACAACTGACCAAAAACTGAACGGGACTAGTCGTAAAAATACAGTGGCTACAACAACAGATGAGAGGCTCGGAATACTGCAGTAAGTAACTCACCTCCTGACTCCCCAAAGCCTGTCGATCACCTACAATGCATGAGCCAGGATTGTGATAGAATTCCCACTTGTCTAGATGAGTGCAGCTCCAACAACACTCAAGAAGCTTGACACTATCCAGGACAAAGCCTGCTTGATTATCATTACATCCATAATCATTTGCTCCCTTAACTACTGACGCTAAGGAGCAGCAATGTGTACTGTCTACAAGAAACAGTGCAGAAATTCACCAAAGTTGCTTAGACAGCACCTCCCAACCCAACAACCACCTCTCTCTAGAAGGACAAGGGAACCAGCTATATGGTTACATCATCACCTGGAAGTTCCCTTCCAAGCCATTGTACATCCTGACTTGACAATATGCAGCTCTTCCTTCACTGTCATTGTGATAGTCCCTATTAACATTACGGATCTACCTACAGAACACGTACTGCAGCGATTCAAGAAGGCAACTCATCACCACTCTCTCAAGGGGAAGTGGGGACAGGCAATTATTGGCCCAGACAATGATGCCCACATCTCACAAGTGAATATATGAAAAAGAGCTTTCTATATTTCAACAAATTGATTCTTTCTTTTTTTTATGAACTCCAATTAATATAGGCCCAATCTGCTTAACATTCATTCAATCTTGCACAGAAACACTTTAGCAACAGTGTGTAACATTAACAAGATGCACGGTACCAACTCATGGCTTCTTCAACAGCATCCTCAAACCATGTGACCTATATGAGGGATAAGGGCAGCAGATATATGGGAACACCACCCTAATATGGAACTAAGTCACTGTTTCTTCAATGCCACTTTGTCAAATCCTGGAACTGACTGAGTGACACTTCTGTGGTTCATGCAGTGATTTACAAAAGCCTATCATCATTGACATCTGCACAGCAATTTTCGAAGATGATAAATACTGGCCATGAGAGTGATGCCACCATCTCATGGAAGAACTTTCAATGTTTGTCCCTCATAAAGCAATACATAAACTGCAAGAATCAGCTGACTGAATAATTTCTGAACTGCTTGCCACACAAGTATATCCCATTTTAATCAAGGATGTCAAAACTCTGTTAATACAATAGTTGTTGTCTCATCAATGCTCTGTACAGTTGTAGTAAGATCTCCCATTTTTTGTACTTTCTTTCCCATGCAAGAACAGCCAACATACCATTTACATTCTGAGGCACATACATGCTGTATTTGAATGCTTTAGTTTTACTATTCTTTTAAACTGCATCAGGTCCCTCTATACAGCAGCAATCTGTTTGAAATTGCCTTTTAAATAATGATTTGCTTTTCAGTTCTTCTTGTCAACGTGGACTACTGCATGTTTTCCCATATTATGACTCGGTCTCCCAAATTTTATCCAACCATTTAACCTATCTCAATCTCTACGCAGACTCTGTATCTTCACAACATGTTTTCTTACCAACCTGTATCTTCACCAAATCTGGCAACAAAGGACTTGGTCACTTCATCTCAGTCAATAATATAGATCATAAATTTTTGAACACAAGTGCAAATCATCAGGCCCTGCCAATGTTACAGCCTTCCCAACTTGAAAAACATTCATTTGCCTCAAGTGTGTTGACTGTTCATTCGGCATCCTCTCTCCACACTAACTATCACTCACAAACTTGTACATTCTGTAGTAATCTTTCATAAGGACCTTTCCTCTATCCTAAGATCAGAAGTGGGGATGATTTCTAATGAATGTATATTGTGCAGCACATTTGCAACTCCTCAGATACTAAAGCAGTTCATATCGAAATGCAACACGATCTGGCCAATATCCAGGCTTAGGCTGACAAGTGCAAAAAAGAATCATGCCACACAAATGCCAGACAATGATCATTTCCACTAAGAGACAGGCTAACAATCGCCCTTGACATTCAATGATATTACCATCACTGAATCCTCCACTATTAACATCCTAGGGTTATCACTGATGAGAAATGCAAATAAAGTGGCCATACAAATACAGTGGCTGCAAAAATGGATAAGAGGCTAGGAATACTGTGGTAAGTAACACACATCCTGACTCTCCAAAGCCTGTCCGCCATCTACAGGTACAACTCAGCAATGTGACTGAATGCTCTCCACTAGCCTGGATGAGTGCAGCTCCAACAACACACAAGAAGCTTGACACCATCGAGGTCAAAGCAAACAGGTTAATTGGCAAGCATTAACTCCCTCCACCAACGATGCTCAGGAGCTGCAGTATGTACGATGTATAAGATGTACAGCAGAAATTCACCAAACAGCCTTAGATTACATCTTCCAAACCCGTGACCACTTCCATCTAGAAGGACAAGGGAAGCAGATACATGGGAACACCATGACCTGCAAGAACCCCTCCGAGCCAATCACCATTTTGACTTCAAAATATATCTTTACTGTTGCTGGGTGAAAATCCTGGAATTTCCTCCGTAAGGCCATTACGTGTCGATGTATAACACATGTACTGCAATAATTCAAAAAGAACTCTCACCACCACTTCTCAAGGGCAACAAGGATCAGGCAATAAATGCTGGCCAACCAGCGATGTTCTATTCCCACAATTGAATTTTTTTAAAAATGGCTTTTTGAAATCCACATATTCCACAGTTACTGGTACCCCTTTAACAATCCTGCTTGTTAACATAGAAGATAGGAGAGTTTTCTCCGCCATTCATCATGATCATGGCTGATCATCCAACTCAATACCCAAAACTGCTTTCACCCCATAACCTTGGATCCCATTCACCCCAAGTGCTATATCTAGCTGCCTTTTGAATACATCCGATATTTTGGCATCAACTACTTCCTGTGGTTCGAAATTCCCCAGGCTCACCACGCTTTGGGTTAGAAATGTCTCCTCATTTCCGTCCTAAATGGTCTACCCCAAATCCCCAGACTGTGACCCCTGGTTCTGGACACACCCACCATCTGGAACATCCTCCCTGCATCTACCCTCTGTAGTCCATTTAGAATTTAATAAGTCTCTACGACATCCCCCCTCATTCATGTGAACTCCAGTGAAAACAATCCTAACCTAGTCAATGTCTCCTCATACGTCAGTCCCACCATCCCCAGAATCAGGCTGGTAAACCTTCGCTGCACTCCCTCGAGAGCAACAATATCCTTCCTCAGAAAAGGAGACCAAAACTGCACACAGTATTCTAGGTGTGATTCAGAGGCTAGAGTGCTGAATCTTAATAAAGGAACCTATGAAGATATGAAGCATGAGTTGGCCTTAGTAGATTGGGGAGAGTTACATAAAGAGATGACAGTGGATAGGCAATGGCAAACATTCAAGGAACACATGAGGGAACTGCAACAACTGTTTATTCCTGTCTGTCGCAAAAGCAAAATGAGTAAGAGGGCCAATCCATGGCTTACAAAGGAAATTAGAGACAGTATCTGACCCAGGGAAGATGCAGACAGGTTGGCCAGGAAAAATAATATGTCTGAGGATTGGGAGCTATTTAGAATTCAGAAAAGAAGGACCAAGGGATTGATTTAAGAAGGGGAAAATACAGCACAGAAGTAAACTTGCAGGGAACATAAGGACTGACACTAAGATTTTCTATCGGTATGTGAAGAGAAAGAGATTAGTGAAGACAAATCAATGTCCCCTACAGACAGAAGAAGGAGAATATATAATAGGGGACAAAGAAATGGCTGAACAACTGAATACATACTTTGGTTCTATCTTCACAAAAGAGGACACAAATCAGATACCAGAAATCGTCGCAAAATGCAAGATTTAGGGAGAGGGAAGAATTGAGAGAGATCAATATTAGTAGAGAAACTGTGCTCGGAAAATTGATGGGGTTGAAGGCAGATAAATTTCCAGGCCCGGATAATCTACATCCCAGAGTACTTAAGGAAGTGGTATTAGAAATAATGGATGCATTGATAGTCACCTTCCAGGATTCTATAGACTTTGGAACAGTCCCTGCAGATTGGAGGGTAGTTAAAGTCACTCCAATGTTCAAAACAGAAGGTAGGGAGAAAACAGGGAATCATAGACCAGTAAACCTAACATCGGTAGTGGAGAAAATTCTTGAATCCGCCATCAAGGACTTTATAGCAGAGTATGTAGAAAGCAGTGTCAGGATCAGACAGAGTCAGCATGGATTTATGAAGGGGAAATCATGCTTGACAAATCTGCTGGAATTCAATGAAGATGTAACTGGTAGAGTTGACAATCATGATTTTTTCTAAATGCCCTGCTTCTACCTCCTAAATAATGGATTCAAGTATTTTGTGATGTTAGACTAACTAGCCTATAGTTCCCTACATCCTCTCTTCTGTCTTGAGCAAAAGTGTTAGGTTTGTACTTTTTCAATCCTTTCAGACTTTTCAAACATCTAGATTATTCTGTA